TCTTACATTGCGCCCCCCCCCCCCCCCCCCACCTCCTGGTGACTGCCCAGGATCATTGAGGAAGCTTCGATACAAATATAAGTAATCATATCTTTGCTTTTCTTGTGGAGATTTTTAAAGATTTCCCTAAATATTCCTATGTAAAAATTTGCTCATCCATTGATGGCTCCACCTTATCCCAAGGGTCATGATTTGAACAAATCTAAATCAATTCCATACTACTTGAGGAAGCTTCGATACAAATATAAGTAATCATATCTTTGCTTTTCTTTTGGAGATTTTTAAAGATTTCCCTATATATTCCTATGTAAATATTTGCTCATCCATTGATGGCTCCACCTTATCCCAAGGGTCATGATTTGAACAAATCTAAATCAATTCCATACTACTTGAGGAAGCTTCGATACAAATATAAGTAATCATATCTTTGCTTTTCTTTTAGAGATTTTTAAAGATTTCCTTATATATTCCTATGTAAAACTTTGCTCATCCATTGATGGCTCCATCCTATCCCAAGGGTCATGATTTGAACCAATTTCAATCTAAACTACCTGAGGATGCTTCCATACAAATTAAGTAATCATAGCTTTGCTGTTCAGGGTTTGAAATTCACTATGTACAACTTGCAAAATGTTAGTTAGAATATCCAAACTACAAGTTAAAATATTTGAAACTTGCAAAAAGTTGTGAATTATTTTTTTCATTTTAACTTTCAGCCCGCAAAGAAACATCCTTTTCAACTGAATTTTACTCTTGCTCTCTTTAGTTACTATTTATATCTGCCATGATTTTAAATTTATGCATTTGTTTATGACTGAATCATGAATTTATGGACAGTAACAGACCTTTTTTTCATAGAATTTAATATGCCTTGAAGTTGTTCAAATAGTGTCGTCATATTACTTAATGAAAACGTGAAATTTTGCAATGGCAAATATATATAATTAACATGCACACATTTTATTTATTTTTAAGAAACTATACACCCATAAAACAAGAGGCCCAGGGGCCACAGCGCTCACCTGAGCACATCAGAACTGAAAGTTTACTGGGGGGGGGGGGGGGGGGGGGGGGGCTTGAATTTTAACCCCCAGGGGTTCATGATTTGAGCTAACTAGAATCTACACTACCTGAAGATGGTTCCATATTAATATCACTAATCATAGCTTTGAAGTACTTGAAAAGAAGATTTTTAAAGGTTTACCTAAAAATCCCTATGTAAAACCTGGGTCAGCCTTTTTGGCTCCACCCTAGCCCCGGGGGTCATGATTTGAACAAACTTGAATGTACACCATCTGAAGATGATTCCACATGAGTTTCATCTCTCCTGGCCCAGTGGTTCTTGAGAAGAAAATTTTTAAAGATTTTTCCTAAATATTCCTATGTGAAACTTGGGTCGGCCATTTTGGCCTCACCCTAGCCCTGGGGGTCATGATTTGAACAAACTTGAATCTACACCATGTGAAGATAATTTCACATGAGTTTCATCTTTCCTGGCCCAGTGGTTCTTGAGGAGAAGATTTTTAAAGATTTTGCCTATTTATTCCTATATAAAACTTGGGTCGGCCATTTTGGCCCCACCCTAGCCCTGGGGGTCATGATTTGAACAAACTTGAATCTACACCATCTGAGGATGATTCCACATGAGTTTCATCTTTCCTTACCCAGTGGTTCTTGAGAAGAAGATTTTTAAAGATTTTGCCTATATATTCCTATATAAAACTTGGGTCGGCCATTTTGGCCCCACCCTAGCCCTGGGGGTCATGATTTGAATAAACTTGAATCTACACCATCTGAGGATGATTCCACATGAGTTTCATCTTTCCTTGCCCAGTGGTTCTTGAGAAGAAGATTTTTAAAGATTTTGCCTATGTATTCCTATATAAAACTTGGGTCGGCCATTTTGGCCCCACCCTAGCCCAGGGGGTCATGATTTGTACAAACTTGAACTACACCATCTGAGGATGATTCCCCATGAGTTTCAGCTTTCCTTGCCCAGTGGTTCTTAAGAAGAAGATTTTTAAAGATTTTTCCTATATATTCCTATGTTAAACTTGGGTCGGCCATTTTGGCCCCACCCTAGCCCCGGGGGTCATGATGTGCACAAACTTGAATCTACACTACCTGAGGATGATTCCACAAATGTTTCATCTTTCCAGGCCCAGTGGTTCTTGAGAAGAAGATTTTCAAAGATTTTTCATATATATTCCTATGTAAAACTTGGGTCGGCCATTTTGGCCCAACCCTAGCCCCGGGGGTCATGATTTGAACAAGAAGATTTTTCAAAAATGCCATTAATTTTTCTCTAATTCATAATTATCTCCCCTTGGTAAAGGGCATGGCCCTTCATTTGAACAAACTTGAATCCCCTTTACCCAAGGATGCTTTGTGGCAAGTTTGGTTGAAATTGGCCTAGTGGTTCTTGAGAAGAAGTCGAAAATGTGAAAAGTTTACAACAACGACGACAACGACGACAACGAGGACAGACAACGGACAAATTGTGATCAGAAAAGCTCACTTGAGCCTTTGGCTCAGGTGAGCTAAAAAGTGACAAATTCACTCTGAAGATAATAAATTTTCAAAATATTTACACACTACATACCGTAACAGTATCAAGATCATCCTGAAATATCACACAGCACACTCTGCAGAGCGATCCAGCAATAGCAACCTTTTCGTACTTCTCAACCTCTTCATATATGATGTTTGCAACATCTTTTCTATTGTACCCAAGGTTTCCAGTCCCTAATGCAGGGAAAGCTATTGACTCCATATTCAAATCATCAGCTGTCTCCAAGCATTTTCTCACCATGATTCTCAAACTCTGAAAAAAAGAACAGTGATTTATAAGTTGATGATTTTATCATTTATAACTTTTGACAGAATTGGTTGACAATTTCAAGTGAATCTACTGATGTTTTAAGCTGATCTCAATAAATATTTTTCAAAATAAGATTACTAAATGAATAAGTAAATAAATGCACACTTAATATACAAATAAAATGATTCAGATATTTATTACAAGAGGCCCATGGGCCTTATAGATCACCTGAGCATTATGCAACAACTTTCCGGTTATTGAATTTGATTCATGTTTTAACTTAAGCCAGATGATATATGGCATTCACAATTTTGAAAGAGGCACCATTGATCATCATAACAGTACACTTAGCAGTTGCTTAGCTTGGTTACTAAATACCCATACGCAGGGTAGGGGAACAAAAATGCATTCCAACTAATCAGTAATATTCAGCAATAATCAGTAGTGCTCCCAACACTATGACATAAACCCTGACCCTAGGTCCTCACATTGCACAAATTTTAAAAAGGCACTCTTAAAATTGCCTATCAAAAAATAAATAAATGTTTTATAAACATGATAAATGCAAAGGAGCAGATTTCAAACAATTAATTCATATTCAGTATATAAGTAGAGCCCCCCCCCCCCCCCCCCGTATCAGGGTCCTTGAAATTCACAATTCTGCAAGATTACGGCCTTTGCTCATCATGACTATATATGTAGTTTGTCAAAATATGGGATTTTCAGTCTAAGAATGGTGTAAATTTGACATTGACTTCTTTCATATATTTTCATTTTTTGGGAAAGTTTGTTGAGGGAAGGTGTTAAACTTAGTCTAAAAATATAAATTAAAACCTATATTAAATATTTTTAGCAATATCAAAACGGAAAATATTCTCCAAGTAAAAGTATGTGAGGCTAAATTTCCATTACATTGAATTTTATAAATGTGCAGATTTGCAGAATTTTCTGCTAAATATCCTTCCACCAAAAGAAATAGTCCCTCATAAATCTTGCTTTTTTGTTGATTTTTGAGCAGTTTTTTCATTGAATGTTAAAAAAATTACATTGTTGAATATAAATATGTCATAAAAATTGAATATTGATTAGTAGTTTTGAAGTAAAAACTTCTGCGTGAAGTTTTCTAAAAAGCTGAGGAGTAACTTAACTTAAGAAGATTTTCAAAAATTTTCCCAATACATTCTTATGTAAAACTTTCACCATCCATGGTAGCTCCACCCTAACCCTGCGGGTCATGATTTGTACACTACCTAAGGTTGCATCAATCTTAGTTTTATCTTTTCTGGCCAAAAGATTTTTTTTAAATACAATTTGTTTTTCAATTATTCATAATTATCTAACCTTGGAAGAGGACTGGCCCTTCATTTAACAAATTTAAATTCCTTTCACCCAAGGATACTTGGTGGCAAGTTTTGTTAAAATTGGCCCAGTGGTTTTTTTAGAAGAAGATGAAAATGTGGAAAGTTTACAACCATAACAATGCCGACAACGACAACAACAAAGACAGACAATGTGGGCAAACTTTGATCAGAAAAGCTCACTTGAGCCCTCGGCTCAGGTGAGCTAATTATGTTCAATGTCCACACCAGTCAGATGAAAAAGAATTCTGCAGACCGCAATGATTTGGGAGTCTTAATGTACATTGTACTGAACAGACATTTACTTCTTTAAAGTACTTTGACTTACAAGTATATGGAAAGGCATAATAACTCATTTATTTAATTACAGAATGTTCAAATACAAATCAAGTAACATGTACAGTCACGAGCATTCGAATATTGATTTATGGTATTTGTTTAAGCTCTAATTGTTGCAAAGTTGATTGAAATTGATATACATTTAATCTTGTTTGGTACAAACACAGATATTGCGAATTCACAGATAAAGCATTATAGATTGTCTGGGATCCCCAGTTAAGTAAATCAATTGAATTCCTTAGACGGATATAATGAATTATGGTATTAAGGAAGAAATTTCAGAGGTCCCATTAACTTTTACTGTACATGTATTTGGGGGGGAAAATTTAAAGTACCTTAATATCTTCATTTGTTGTATACTTTGGCAAACATCCATGAAAGACATGCTTGCACTGGAGACCATACCCTTTGGTAATTGCTAGTTTTCCAATGTGAATTCCACCTTTGTATTTTTGTTTGCATTCTGCTTGTATTTCTGGACCAGCAGCCTTTAAAATGGATTTGGAGATAAAACCTGAATCCAATACCAGATTATAAGAAGTGCTGTTGACTAACACATCAAAGTCCTGAAAAATGAACAAAGAAAAACATTAAAATATTAAGAAGAATAATTGAAACTCATATACATACATTCAGTTTTGTGTACAGTCATATAATTATCTTTCATTTGATATAACTTTTTAAAAAAATGTACAATTATTGATTTTTTGTTTGTTGTCCCTTTCAAGAAATGTTCACTCATATGGTGATGCCACCTATACTTGGCAATAAGGACCATCGAATACGAGATATCTATTTCATGTCATCCATACTAGGACAGGAAATCTAAGGACTTGTGTTTGACTCCAAATCCAGCGGTGGATTTGAACCCACAACATAAAGATCAGCTCTTTACCCAACGAATCTTAGATGCAGAAATCAATATACAAGTAGAAATATGTCATATTAGTAATGCAACATGAAAATTTGTATGAAAATTTGATCAAAATATCTTGTGATGCAATTGAATTGCTTACACCAGTATGCATCATCATATGAAGTTTGACACTTATTTCAGATATTGGGGTCAAGGTCAAAGGAAAGGCCAAGGTCAAAAAATGATGATACAGTCAAAAAAGCTCTAATCAAGTAGAAAAAGAAGAGGCTCATGGGCCACATCACTCACCTGAATAACTTGCATGATGCAGTTCTTCAGCAGATTTTCCATCTTGCTATACCTATCTTCCCCGTCCCCTTACATGATTTTAATACTTTAGAATCAACACTACCCAAGGATGCTAAGGTTCATCTTTCCTGGTTCAGTGGTTCTTGAAAAGAAGATTTTTAAAGATTTGTTCTATACATTTTTATGTAAAACTTGGATTCCCTATTGTGGCCCCACCCAACCCCCAGGGGTCATGATTTTAACAATTACTATCTACACTAACCAAGGATGCTTCCACATAAGTTTCAGCTTTCTTGGCCCAGTGGTTCTTGACAAGAAAATTTTAAAGATTTGGTCTACATTAACTTCTATGTAAAACTTGGATTCCTTATTGTGGCCCCGCCCTACCCCCTGGGTGTCATGATTTAACAATTTAATATCTACACTACCAAAGGATGCTTCCATATAAGGTTCATCTTTCCTGGCACAGTGGTTCTTGAGAAGAAGATTTTTAAAGATTTGTTCTGTACATCTCTATGCAAAACTTGGATTACTTATTGTGGCCCCGCCCTACCCCCCGGGATTATGGGGTTAACAATTTAATATCTACCAGAGTTCTTGAAATCTTTCAGTCCTGTCGGCAAAACGGATAGAAACAACCAAGGACTGATTACTTCCGTTCTGTATCAGTCCAAATGACCGGACGGTGTTGACAGAGAACTTGCGAAAATTCGAATAAATTTTGTACAAATTCCCTATAATCGATCGATCGTTATGCATGTTGTAATGGCTTCTTGATTAATACAAGTGCAAATTTAGAGACAATGTTCTATCGTTAAAATGATAAATGTCCTACGGACCCGGTTTAATAATAGAATTTGTTCCGTATTTTCACTATGTCGCAAAATAAACACTGGCAATGACTCGAACTCAGTACATTTACTACGAAGATTCCAGAGAGTTTTGAATGCAAACATGGCGTGTAAAAAGCAAGAAAAAAACGTCAAGAAAATTAGTTGAATTATCGTCTTTATTTGGATCATAATTTAGGTTTAAAGACATACGCGACCTAAAAAATAGGTTTGTTGTAATTAATTTTGAAGTTATTTCCAGTGCATATCCTTTCCTATACTTCAAATTCATTTCGGAGCAATTCTGTAACTATTTGCTACATTGCGAGTATAACTGTTATGAGGACGTGTTCCGAGACACAGATTATTCTTACTTGCGCCAAACTATTGGTTAACTGTTAAAACAAGTTTCTTGACGGCGCTGGGGTAAGAAGTGTACAGTGTTCATACAGATGCCATGTTTATTGATAATAAAATTTAAATACAATTTTTTTTTCATGTTTTTATTGAATTTATTTTGGACTGATAGAAATCTGTCTGAACTGACAAACTTCACAAGGCAGTCGGTCCAAATGACTGACAGCGAAAAAAAGATTTCAAGAACTCTGATCTACACTTCCCAAGGATGCTTCCACAAAAGTTTCACCACAGCAGGTGCTGAATTGTTAATGCTGGATGCATCTGTCGAAAAAAGATTGTGACATAGTGCAAAACTTCACACGTATTAGGTTAAATTACTACCTTGGTAATTCCCCCCAGCCATTTCATGGTTTTTTTTCCCTCAAACTACTTCATGAGAAGAATTTGACCTATCATGTACCTTCTGTTGTGCCAACTGTCCTCCCTGCACATCCATTTCTATACATCTTCCTATAAAGAAAAATTTACAACATAATTTTCATATTTATTTACAGTAGCTGCAACCTTTTTGTTGACAACTTACACGAACGATAACGTTACACGAACGATCCCGGCACGATTAACGCATGATTAAACCTGTTACACGAAGGATCTTTCACGCACATGATTCTACACGTTACACAATCTTACACGATTGCTAATGCAAATGCATGATTCTTCACTCAAAATATTTCAAAACATTTAGGAATTGATGTTTTCAAACCGAAATACAACTAAATAATAATTTACGATTTCAAAAAATTATCAGTATTATTTCATAGACTTTGAAAAAACCCAGAAATGGATATTTCTGTAACTAAATGCATGTAAGACTTAATAGTTTAGATAATAAATATTTATTTAGGTAATTATCCGACCTAAGAAAACAGATTGTTTTTTCCATTCTATCAGAAGATGTACATGTATATATTTACATTCACTGTGTTTTTCTAGGAAGCCAACAGTGAACTTGATTTGAAAACCATTTTCGTGTAAACTCGTGCATAGAAATATACAAGGAGAAACGTGCGCTAACGTGACGTCACAATGAGGCTAGAGTACTACGTTAGTAAAAATGCAAAGATATAGGGCAGCAAGAAATTCAAACACTGACTAGAGTATATTTTTCATGCTTTCAAACATTTAAAATGTAAATATAAGGAATGTTTTTTAGTTTTGTGTGATTTATTGGTGTGTAAATCACACAAGACTTGCATGTATGCATATTTTTCATGAAGTGCTAGCGTGCTTCATGAAATATGCCTAAGTGACAAGTCTGTGTGATTTACACACCAATGAATTACACAAAACTTAAAAACATTCCTTAAGGTCATACGCAACGTAGTTTGAACTTTTTTGGTTCTCCCCTGGAGTTGAAGAGTTCCACTAAATGAAGGACCTGTGTGCAGTTTTTTTAATGTCTATAAATGAATTTGTACACCTCTTCTAAAACAACTTTTGAAGGAAAAAAATCTGATATTTATGTTTTATAATTTTTGTACATTTTTATTTGAATAATGCAAAAATTTTCAAAATTCGATATCTTTCCAAAACCTCTGGTAAGGCATGCTGATTTTTTGTCTATGAACATCTGATTATATTATAAGTTTAAATTTGGAATATCTTGGAAATATATCAGTAGGTAAGGTATGTTGCGTATGTCCTTAAGTGGACCATATAATTTGATTGAATTGGATTTCATGATATGCAGAAAGGGGGATACAATTGAAAAAAAATGGCAGCATGGAATGGCTTAAATTACAAATTATACCTGTATGTTTCAAGTGAATCAATGTTTGTAAATCTCTAAAAATGAACTTGCCAATTATTTAACTTTCTTTTATTTGAAGAAATTAAAAAATTAATTGAAAGTAAGCTCCAGAGATAATCTAAGATAATAAAAACCTCCGAAAATCATGTCGTGTGCATATATATTCGTCGACTTAATATTTATGTTAGCATTAAGAAATGTTTATGTATCTGTTAAAAGAAATATTTATTTTTCAATTGATGTATTGATTTTAAAAATATCTTTACCACAATTAGCAGTAAACAATAATTAAAATCAGATTTAAAAAAAAAAACGTTAAAGATCTAAGTACGGTTTATCACAATACTGATCGAGCTATTTGACGAGAACTTAATATTGTACGACTTACTATATTGCATGTTTACAAGCAATAATTAGTTCGTTCTGCATTCAATTATGTAAATTGCGCTTCATTCATTTTATTTGCATTTCTTTAATAAAAAAATTTAAAAAAAAACAATAGAAATCCTTATTCACATGATTCTAAACACATGATCTCGCACAATTAAAAACGCAAACGATTGAATCTGATACACGCACGATCTCACACATTACATGAACGATCACGCACGATACACAAATGATCTACACGATTGGTTTGTCAACAATACTGTTGCAGCCACTGTATTACAAGTACATATGTATGACTTTGATTAAAAAACAAGATGTGTTTGTGAAACACTATGCGCCCGGCGTCAACAAAATTAGAAAAAGCTATTTTTAGTATATAGGTCACAGTCAAGGTCACAAGGTCATTGACCTTGGTGTTGTTTGTAAGAACTTTATAAGTGGGGTATGTATACTAAATATGAAGTCCCTAACTCCTATGGTTCAAAAGTTATGGCAAAAAGTGGAAGAGCTATTTTTTAGCATAAAGGTCACAGTCAAGGTCACATGGTCATTGACCTTGGTGTTGTTTGAAAGAACTTTATTAGTGGAGTATGCATACCAAATATGAAGTCCCTATCTCCTATGGTTCAAAAGTTATAACAAACAGTTGAAAAACCTATCTTTAGCATAAAGGTCATAGTCAAGGTCATTGACCTTGATGTCATTTGAAAGAACTTTATTAGAGGAGTATGCATACCAAATATGAAGTCTCTATCTCTTACGGTTCAAAAGTTAAATTGGCAAAGGTTAAAGTTGACAACAGACAGACAAACAAAAGGACAGACAGAAAACAGATAAACAGACAAACAGACAGTACAAAAACAATATGCGTTCCGAAAAAATTCGGGCGAATAAAAATTAAATTCCACAAAGAATCAAAGTTAATCTATAATTCAAAGATGAAAAGTGGTTGATTGATTTATCTGTAATAAGTATGTCAATTTGTATCAACTGGACATAAATCAGCTATTTCACAGATACTGTCTTTCTTATAAGGGTATTTTTTTGTATGAACAATTTTTGTCCAGGTTTTGCTGATTTTCAAGTGGTATTTACATGTTCTAGATAGAATGAAATGTTAAAACGTATTACATTTGGCTGTGTATTCTTTTTAGCACTTTTGGTGGAAAGACACTTCTGCTAATTCAAGTACAAGGCTAAATGTTTTATACTTATAAATGTAAATAAGAACAATAAGAAATGCACTAAATTAAATCTATGCTAACTTGTTCAAAACTCAATTTCCGCCAAATATCGTACATGCTAAATATAATACATTTAAAGTATTTAACTTCCATTTGTTTACTATTTTTATACATTTCTTCAATAACAAAAGGCCCTTAAGCCATTTAAAAGACTAGACGTACTGTGAGCAATGAGCTCACTAAATGATACCCCCCACCTCTCATATGAATAAAATGGCAGTGTACGTTTTGCTCTGGAAAATCCAAAATATATGTCAGATCAAAAAGTAAAATACGAGGTGCACAATGGCAATATGTAATAAAGATTCTGTGATATAGTTTCATTAAATTTTCTTCAGTGGTATGAGAGGAGTTGCGGATAAGAGATGGGTACCCCAAAGCGTAACAGACGGACCGACAGACATACATTCTGATTAGCCACAGCTAAACCTAGGCTTTGCCATTATAACCTTAAGGGAGGCATGTATAAACTTTATATTTTTTTTTAAATTTTTCAATTACCTTTCCACTCCAATACTTCTACATTTTTGTTCTTTAAATGATCATCAATAATACTGGTCATGCAAGGTAACATCTGAGGTCTAAATTCATGAAATTCACATTGTATTAGGTCCAGGTTGATTCCAACTCTTTTGTTAAGCGAAGCACATTAATTTCATAAAATCCCTCAACTCTTTCTCCGGCAAAAGTTCACAATCCACCACCATATTTTTCTTCTTCATTCCTTCTTGGTTAACATTCAAAACTGATTGTATTTTCTGTGAAATGATGTCCTTATTTTTATTATATTTCATAGGTGATATATATATCTGTAAGGTGTCAGCATCAAGTTGCTGAAATTGTCCTTTACTTGTTGCTGAAAAGAAATTATAAAGGCCTGAATCAATTTCCATTGCCTAATAAAGAGCAAAAGCCATCTTATGCATAAAATGGCCCTGTACTTATATCAAATAATTTACTATCACCCTCTTTCCATTTTCATATATCAAAATAAAGCAGACACTTCGTGCTTTCAAGTTCTATAACAAAATTTCGTTTTCAGAATCCAAATATTTGAAAACAGGCTTTGAGAAATTGCAATGTTCTTGAAATTTGCAGAAAATATGCGTATTTGACTACCTTCAGCAAAGAATTAAAGTATGAGCACAGCCCACGATCCAAAAAATAAAGCATGTTTTATGATCTTCAAAAATAGGCCTTTCATTATGTATTGGCATATTTTGGATCAGAGGTTGTACTCTATATAAAATATTGAAAAAATCTTCAACTTAAGGTCATTTTCAAAGGAATTTACAGCATATGAAGAAAATGACACATTTTATGATGTCATAATGCATTGACTAGATGTGAAATTACGTCACAATTAAATTAATAGATATGTGATCACCAACAGTCCAAGTGATACAGTAAATACTGTATTTGCAACCTAAACTGAAGGGTTTTGAATTTTCAGAAATTCTCAGGGCCAAATAAGGCCCAAAGTGGCTCTACCTCTTTAGTAAGATTTCAAACAAGGAAATGGCTTTTATAATGTTTTTTTATTTAAATGTACATTTGGAATATCTTGCAGATATAGATTTCAAATTTCTTTTTTATTTCTTTTTTGCTTTTATGATCTTCATCAGCCATTCTACATGTATCAGTACTGTTTTTATCTGCAGATTTTATTTAAGCACCTGTTCTAGCCCCACTTTACCTCCTAGGTGTCATGCTTTGACACATTCATGATTATTGTTATTGAGAAGATCTTTTAAGATAAGTGCAAACCTTCCCTGAGGGTCACATGATTTAAGGTACTCCGATCCTAAGCCAAGGAGGATAATTCTTTAATTTAAAATTTAATGTTTCAAAAATGAAGTTTGACAAATAAATCTTTTCATTCAACAACTTTATTTTAAACCTCTCCATGTGCTTCAAGATTCTTTAAAGTTCTTAAAAAGGTCTTATATAAAGTCAAAAATTTAATCCTATAAATGTACTGTAGAAGTAATTTTTCTGCATTGTTTTAATTTATGCTATGTACGCGGGCACAAATTTTCCATTGAAATTTGTCCAAGCGTATTTCATATAAATGTAAAGCATATAGTGAAATCCTAGGAAATCCGCGTAATTTTCTACCTGCGGATTAAACAGAAATTGAGATTCAGTGGAATTATGACCCCGTGGAAAAAAGTATGTTTACA